TTTCAACAATCTCCACCATGCAATGCGTTATCTTTCGCGAAGATGGGCATGTTGAAAACTTGCTAATTCCGATAATATTTTTCCTGTCCTCTCTTGTGTTTCCCTGTCCTCTATTGGTCTTTTACAATGCTTTCGTTGGCAAAAGTTTTACGGCAGCAATTTTCGTCAGACGTTATGAGTCCAAAACCATTTTTAGTTTTGCAGTGCCCTAATCAATTTAAGCAAAAAGAAAGTTGGTACTGCCATTTGGAAATTTCGAAATATTTTCACTGTCACTATAACCTTGAGCGATTTATTGTTTTAAATCATCATAATCTCGAGAGCATATATTCAGATAACAATATCTGGAATTTTATTTCGATTGGCTCAAAAGATAGGCTGCCAGGGGTTTGTATATCGGGGAACTTTTTCTGTGACTACCATGTATTTCGTTTAAAACTTACTGAGATTATACGAATTTTCCTAAATTATAAATAAATCAAAAAATAAATTTTACAGGAAATAAATCAGGCCACTGAATCCGAATTTAAAATCTATGTTGCATTAATTTATGTAACAGAAAATCAAAGCTCACCCTATCAACAGATGAAATTAATAATCATTACCATCATTAAGATAACATACACTACTCTGAATATGCGAATACACTCTTATTAAATATCCGAATCCTCAAATATTCACGAATATCTCAAACTCTTTATATAGGAGAATTAGTAAGAAGAGAAAAAGTACTTACTTAATACTGAAAGCTTTTAATTAAAATACACTTTGAAATCTGCGTCTAATGAAAAAAATAGTTTCAGATTACAGGTCTCGCAATGGATATTTCCTTTGAACTTTCCGGAAATTTTTCGCGATTACAAAACTTTATTGACTTTGTACAAGGAAGTAAAAAATTCTTAGACTAAAATATATAAAAATTATAATATTAAAATAAATTTCAGTCTGATCTTGTTATGTGGATGTCATTTTAAGATCAGAATTCAAAATAAGTGCGATATTAGTAAGCTTACGATATAAGGTTATATTGTTTACTAAAAAAATAATGATGCGAAAAAAAAGAAGTTGAAATGAATACTTTTATGTTTTGAACTTTTAACAAAAACCGATGCTGAAATTCTTGCAGTGAAATAACTCTTTCTTCGAACGTCCTGGTAAAATTCTGAAAATACCAACATTTTATTTTTTTATCAATAAGTAAACTTCTCGCGTTTTTCAGAACGGGTTGACGGGAAATTGCAGCCTGTCACTCCCGATGTGTCTTCCTCTGGGTACCCAATCGCACATCTCTTTTGTGTTTTCGTCTGTAAAAATGGCAGAAATGTAACAAAGCGAAAGAAGAAATTTTGAATTTCCAATAGAGTACCGGATAATACGAATTTCCTACTTGAAATTCTGACCCTAGCTATACTATTGTCTCATCGCAATAATTCTTTGGCATGTGACATTTATTGCTCAAGAATGCATACATCAGTGCCAGATTTTAGTTGTTTCAGGGAATCATCTGAAATTATATGCTTAAAACTGAAGTTAGAAATGAATAGCGATCGCTTAAAGTTTTTAAGTTTTGAGGATGAGCAATTTTAATTTTCTTCACTTTATATTTAAATTGATTACACTAGAAGAATTTAAATCAGATTTTTTAATTCGTTAACAAACATATAAATATGTGGTGAGAAATCAGCTTAAAATGAACCCTCAAACTATAATATTTAATTTTTGAATTTAGTTACTTGATCTGTGATTTTATTAGTTATATTAGTTAAGAGTCAACAGTGTTAACCTTTGTCTTGGAGGTGAAAAATATTTATAAGTAACTACTTTATTAGACACTGTTTTTTTTTTTTTTGTCTTAACATCGGTAACTAATTCAGAAGGACTAGTCCTGTGAAAATTTTGTAAATATAACGCTGATTTTTGTTGTTTGACTTCTGAATTAGTATTTATTCGGCGTGTTATTGTGTCTTAATCGGTAACTACTTTATTAGACACTGGTTTTTTTGTCTCCAACCGCCTTTCGACCCCGCTTGACGCTTGAGACACCTGTGTGTCACTTATATTTTCTTCAGTGTGATTTTTAGTATGGAGTTTCGTCTTCTTTGGTAGCATAGACGAAAGTTCTAACACCTGGAGTCATATATCACACATTTCTATGAAATTATGACAGAAACATACGAAAGATATAAAAGACCCTTTTGTGTAACTCAAGTTTAACAAAAGGCAGTGCTCTTGCTTACAGAACAGCCAGCATTTGTGATTTAAGTCAAAAGTAATGAATTTTAAATCATGACTAATTAAGTTAGCCGAAAGGTTACACAGAAACAAAACTCGCAAGTTGGTTCTGACCTAAAGTCTAAGTGACAAGCCTAATCGCAAGAGTAACGCAAAGCCGCAGAATGCTACTCTCAAGAGAATCAATTAGCAAAAGTGACCTTCAGCAGGCAAAACATGCTCTCTTTCTACCTTTATTACTTTATTACATGCATTATGCTGGCATCAGTGTAAACTGCATCACGGTCTTACCAGCACCTCAGATAACTACGTTTAGGAGAACCACACACAGATATTCCGCAAATAAGAAACCCAATGGTTAAACTATACGTAAGACTCTTTCTAACCTCCAAGACATTCCTATAAACGTTATTTCCGTTCTACCTAATATGAATAACTCGAGCTAGAAATTTGCTTTATGGCAGAAAAACGGAAAGCGGGAAAGACGGCAAAGCAAATTAACATCAAATAATTGATTACTAATTAAAATAAATTCTTATAGTTTTTACCTACATATTAAAATGCATTTAAAGTGAGACATAGCACTGACAGCACTGCCTCTGAAAATTCTTATGCTGTAGCTTTCTTCTGCTGTATTAGTGGAATATCGTTAAGAGAAAGCTTTGCATATTAATCCATTTTTCATAAATTTCGCATAGACTGCTAGCAAAATTTTTCCCATCTTTTCTTCTGAAGATATATTTTCTATAGTTACCTTTTATTGTTGCTTCTAAAGTTGCAATAGTTATTTCTTGTTGAGGCTGTATTTATGATCCTCTATTTATTTCTCCTCTTCTTTATTGAAACTTAGCTCATGATTTTCCCAAGAAACCATTTTATATGTTGCCCTACCTTCTAGCTCTCTCTTGTAGAAATAAAAACTTAAACAAAATTCCTTACCATTTCTCCGGGCCCACCAGCGGCCGAGCGGTAAAATCTTATCGACTATGCTTTGTCTTAAAGTACTAAACCAAACCGTATTTTCTCGTCAATAGGTTTGAACAAACAAACACCGTCGCCAAGCAATACGACTTAGAGCCTATAATGGGCAAGCGGGACACCACACTATAGTCATAAAATCTTCGCCTTGATTTTGCGCAACCTCAATAACTCATTTACAGTTTTTGTCAATAGGGTTATACTCTTACCTGCTTTATCTATTTTCCTCCAGCTTTTGAGAAAACGATCAAAATTTGAAACTAGCCTTCTACAAAACAGCAAGCAGTGGATTATTTTCGAATTTATGGGTTTCCTGGTGTCGAAAAGCGTTTGCACTGATGGGCATGATCTGGGAATTGAGTATTTGAAAATGAATACACAATGCTATGCAACGCGGAAAGTTCTGACAAGAGACTACATATTTAAAACATTGGAAGACTGCAGATTTCGGCAAAATGCACCCATTAAAAAACACCCACGGAACTAGAGCGACTTTACTTGCTAGATTCCTATTTAAGGAATCTTATGTACTGCTAAGATCACAAAGCTAATTATTTTTGTTGTTAATTTAAATTCGTTATTGGTTTTGGAATCACCGGGCAGATTTTAATGAATTGCCTTGTCGGTCAGTCTCAGAACTTAAGCTTTTTATATGCTACATTCATAATTTGTATTTAGTGAGTATCTAACCAAATAAAAAGAGATCTTTGAAAACCAAATGAAAAAACATTTGTGATTATCTAACTAAATAAACAGCAATATGTTTCTTTAAACTGCTGGCGGAATAATTGGTGCAAGCTTGGTGGGGGTCTTCGCCAGCTTTCACGAACCTATTCAGTTTCAAGGTAATTCAAGTTCAAACTAGTGTTTCAAAGTAAACGAATGTTCCAAGGGAGAAAAAAATCCTATTACTTCGCACACAGATTTATCATGACTATGCCGCACAACCGGGGTAGAGGTTAATGACTCTGACTGCCGTACCGAAGGACCCCGGTTCGAATCCTGGGGAAGGCGGTGTATTTATTTAATTACGGCAAAGCACACTAGGGCTATCTGCCTAAGGGAAGGGGACCTTCGTGGAGGACTTTCTAAGGGAAACTGGCTCGTATACACGTTACACATGGGGAAAACCTAGAAAACACCCATGCAGCCAGCCCGTTCGCGGGATTCGAACCTCGGACCGAACTACCAGTGTTCAGCGACTTTACCGCTCGGCCGCTGGTGGGCCCCCTGGGGAAGGCATGGATGTTTGTAAATGTATACTGACTGTGTGGCATGGAGGCACTCTAAATATGTGGCGATTCGAAAATCCTCTCGAGTGAAGAAAAAATCGGTGGCATCGGACCCTCAGACCGGTCTGATCTCTCTCAAAGTCGAGAGTAATACTAAGCTATAATCGGGCTGTCACCTGTATGATGCTCAAGGCTTTTGCCAACGACTGGCGCACATGATTCCTTCCCACAATGAATGTCGCGGCTTTTACTGGGATTTGTCAGACAAGTCAGATTGGGATCAACAATACCATGAATTCATTTTTTACTTTATAAGCAGAAAACTGAGCCGGGGGAATACAAATTTTGAAATATACATTCCGGTGAATTTTAAAGCGAATATATCAATATTTTTAATGTATTTTCACTGCCGAATGCGATTTAAAATCCGTTGATGAGTACAATGTAATGATCTTGAGTCTAAGTACTGACGTGATGGTGTTATTCTCTTTGAGTTAACAAGAAAGGTTTGCTTTTTGGTCATTAGAATGAATTAATTAGTATTTTTCTTTTTTCCAGGTTGAACTAGAACATTCTATTTGGCCTCGCGTCTATCACAAATGCATATCTTATGCGCATTACATTTATGTGCTTGGAGGGAGTGAAGGATTTTCTTGTTTGAATACCTGTTTGCGTTTCGACACTCTAGCAAAGAAATTTGAAGAAGTATCTCCAATGCATGAACGAAGGTGCGTTCATTAAGTTTTATTCTTTTTTCAGAAATATTTAATTATATGTACAGATTGTTTGAATATCACTGCATTAGCAAGCCTTTCTTGAATTGTCGTATATTCTCTTGAACGAACGTAGCACCACTTGCACAGAAGCATACCAGCGACAGAGCGGTAATGTCGCTGAGTACTCGTAGTTCTGTCCGGGGCTCGAATGCAAGAAAGGGCTGGCTGCCTGGGCGTTTTCGCGGTTTTCTCCGTGTGTAACGTCTAGCAGGGAGCCTGTTTCATTTAGAAAGTCCTCGATGAAAGCAGCCTTCCCTTTAGGCAGATAGTCCTCAAGTGCTTTGGGGAGGGACATAATTAAATGGCATACTATACCAAATCACCATACAGAAGCATACTATACGAAAACGCGTGGAGTAGAAAAGTAATAAAGCTAAGATATTAGAATTTTGAAAGCATGAGTAAGAAATCGTTTTCCTCAATAAGTGGTGCTACCTTCGGTTTCGCGTTGCTCCTCTCATTTATTTCCATATAAAATGATAATCGTTTCTCATAAAGATTGAGTGTTATATTTCATGAAAATTTTCAATTTAAGGACAAAGTAAGTTATGCTGTCAAAAAAAGCTAGTTCAGCCTTTAACGCTAATCGGAAAAAATTCCAAACTACATCTGCATGTCAAGCGAAAACTTTACCTAACTCTCATCCGGTTGATTCTTATATAATTCCTGTTTAGGCAATTGTTCCTAAAGCATATAATCAAAAATCGAAGTTCTGTAGAATAAAATTCGAAGCACCATGATCAACGTTTCTTAGTTTGTTAGAAATTCTGTTATTCATAGAGACATCGGTACCTATCAATTTGATCCTATAACTGACTATATTGTTGACAGACTAAAACATGATACATTATAATTCAATATGCAAGTTCCTCTTGTATTGACACCTGACTATCTTCCAGACTCTTACTTTATTTATTTTTATTTGCAAAGACAGAACTCTGTTTCTTTCATTTTAGGACTTCGTTTGAAAGTATCACTCAGTGACTATCTGCACTCAATCACCGATCAACTTTTCATTCCACGTCTATTAGCGGCGCGTTTTGAGCATCACAGTTACACCAATGACCTTTAAAATTATTTCCAAATATACGAGAAAAGCGCTTAGTGGGTTATAGTCTCGTTTTACCAATAAGATCCAAGATCCAGGATTCCTAAATATTAGCTTAAATAATCGTAATGTTGAGTTTAACCCAATTTTTACTAATCCTGCTGAACTAAAAAAGTATAATCTCTAAATTAAAAAATCGAAAAGCTCAAGACAAAGACAGACTTATAAAAAAAAATGCTAAAAACCTGCCATTAAATTTAATAATTAAGCTCACAGCATCCCAGGGCATGTCTTTCTCTGCAGTAATTCCAGCCTATATGGAAGAATACCCTTATTCTTTAACCAGAAAAAGACGGGACGAAGGTAGACAATTACAGAACTATTAATTTCTTACTTCCCTTAGTAAATTTCTCCAACTAATCATCTATTGTAGGATCGAACTCCTCTTGAATAACCTCCATATGAAAAATTTGGATTTCGGAAATGACTATCAACTAGGATGCAACTTGTAAGAACAATATAGTTCATGATTGCATGATCTGGGTTAAGTTGTTTTGAGAGCACAGTAGCATCATCTGCGCAGCAAACGGTTATTTGGCTTAGGTTTTCATTAAGAAGAGAGAAATCTTTAATAGTAATAAGACTGAAAAAACGGACCAAGAATCAAATATTGAGAAACCCAGCTTCAGTGTTTGTAACAACAGTAAAGTGACAACAGAGAGTTCTGAAATTCACGACCGTCAGGTCTCTGCTTTCCTAATGTTAGACGTAATGAAAGCTTTTAACCGCATCTGCCATAAGGGTCACCTGTGACAAATTAGTTAGTTGCAGTGTAAGGAAAGAAATTATTGTCACGATTTACTCTTTCTTTCTCAGCAAGAGGATTTTCATAGTTAAAAGAGAAACGGTTTTTCTGTTGTCACAAAAACGGAAGCTGCGGTTTCTCAATGATTGATTCTGGATCCGTTTTTTTTTTTTTTTTTTTTTTTTTTTTTTTTTTTTCCCAGTTTTATTAACGTTAAAGATTCTCTCAAATTTCCTTAACTCAGATCATGCAATTATTCGATACAGAATCGCATTAATAAAATTGAAAATTGGTATACAAATTGGCGATCTAGCATAATTCCCACTAAATCAACTGTGCTTCTTGTTATAACACATAAATGTCTTCCAGTTAATAATTACATCTTTTGAATGCAAAGTTCCCGTAGTAACTAGTGTTACTTATCTTGGTGTTCATGTAAACACTTGTTTAACCAAGAAAAATTATATTAAAAATGTCATAAGCAATAGGAATGCCTACCTGTCTCAGATGTTTACGGCAAAAACCATCTCATCGCGACGTGGCAAGGAAAACGAGGTTCTATTTTCTATCGTAAAACCAATATTAACTTACGCTTCTCCTTCTTGGAGTTCAGCAATTGCGTCAAACTTTAAATGCTTTTCAAAATTGCACGTTCATAAAGATTACTTATCAACTAAATACTTGTTTATAAGAAATGGGCTACTGCACAAAGACTTGAAAATCGATTATACAGAGTGCAACGCTTTCGATTACCCATTTCCAAAATCATATATTCGGTCCTAGAGACAATGAAACTTTGGTGCTAGAGACAATGATCCTCGGGTCAAACAATAGTCCTAGAGACAATAACTGAATATTTTATATAATTTTTTTGCGACATTTACATACATGCCACGTAAGCTTTGTGTGCATTTGGTACAGTTATTTGTAAAACACTTTGCCTGTGAAATGAATACTTTTAGGACGTTTTTGGAAATACAGAGTTGGCTAAACTGCATGGATGGACGATATAAAAGACTTATGCACAGATTTATGCTTTTCGATGATTTTTATACTACGAACAGATTTGTGCTTTTCGATGACATTCAGTGGCACGCCAGATCCTCTAACCTAAGTGCTTCGGGCTGCTTCCTTAACGGGCAAGTATGTAGACAACCAAATTCGAAAGCGTGGAAGGAAAGAATTATGGCGGAAATTGAGCTCATAATCTCGGATATCCTTGACCTTGTCATGCAAAGTGTCCGTAATCGTCTTGTACAGTGCACTGCTAAAACGAGATGGTCATTTAGCCTCCGTAACGTTTCACAAATAACTGGAACAAACGCACACAAAGCCTAGTAGTAAAGTGTACGTGGTGGCATAATGTGTATATAGACAAGTGTAGTAAAAATATGATATGAAATGCTCAGAGTTTCATTGTAGTTAGTTCCTTTTCCAAAATTGTAAATACAAAATCATTGCCTTCCGCCATTGGCTACCCACCTCCTACGTGATAAGTTGCAGAATACACAGGTTTTGGCATGTAACTGTATATAATGATCATATGTACTCATTTTTAAGAGCTAGAACTACTCCTCTTATCTGCATTTTCACACATTTTCAGTCTTACTCATTTTTACATGTTATTGAAAGTTTGATCACCGAGGCAAGAGCCTCAATATCTACATATTTTATATCTAATCGCTGGAACACACCACTGAGTTTGCGTACGTGAGATTTGCCATGTCTTGGGTTATATGGAGGTGTTAGCAATAATGTTAAATTTTTACTGCTCAAATTATAATAATTTTAGTATCCAGGTGTGTACCCTTGTAATGTCTGATCGCCCTCAACATCAGTTGAAATTTACCTAAAAATCTACGCTAATCTAAGGTTGCCTTTTTACCTAATATAAAAGTTTTCACTGGCATGTTTCTCTCCAATTAGACCAAACTTTCAACTTTATACAAATCTGTTGACACGATTAAAATATATGAAGAGAAAGACGTATAAAAAATAAGGCTCCTTGTATAGGAAAGAAGTTATAACTACACATTTGAATAACTGTTGCAAAGAACACTAAATCCTGTCCAACAACTGAATATTTTACATAGGATTATGTTAAGTGACAAAAACTATTAGTGTTATATTTAACAGTAGTTAAACTTTTTTTTCTTATACAACTTTTAAATTTAATGTGCATCATGAGCTTTGCATATTTGCTTTCATATACATATTTGTAAATCAGACTCAAACAAGTATAATTAATGAAAATAATAGTAAAAGACTGAAATCGAAGATTATGGACTAAAAATTAGTAACGCTTCTTATTTATAGATAACACACATGTTAGGAATTTTTTTTTTTTTTTTTTTTTTTTTTTTTGATAGGAAGGTTATTTTTATTCCTGGCAAAGATAATAAAGCTTACTGCCACTTGTAAAGAGAAAAAATAAAAAAATGTATTTTACTGGCTGGAAAAGTATTTCTTACTTCTTTAAGGTATTTCTTCTTGTTTTCGAAGCAACAACAAAAAATTAGTAATCTGGCAAGCGATGGAAACGTTGAATGGCAAGTAATCTGAATGCGATAGAAATAACTTGGTATTATGTGTTTACCATAGGCTTTAAAACTGTGCGTAAATATTTGTAATGTAAATATAAGCAAAAATAAAACGTCTGTTTACATAAAATTACCGTAATAAAATATATACTGTATGATTTCAAGAACATTTTATTTAACTGAAATAATGTATGAGTATATTTTAAAAAGTTAAGAATGATGGACAAAGAAATTCAAAGGATTTTCCTTAATACCATATTTGAAAACTCTTTATTCATGTAACAAATAAAGATTTTATTCATTTTATATAGGATATTGTTTCAATATTACGTTGGCATTTTATGAAAAATGAGCCAAAATAAGTAATTACCTTAAAGATTCTTCGTTTCCCTTAGAAAGCTCTCCACAAATATCTTATCATTAAGTAAATAATTAACATTCTTCAGTGACTTATTTTAGCAAACAAGCAATTCAAAGGTTAGGTTTAATTTGCTATTTGAATGGTAAAGCACACGAGGGCTATCTGCCTATGGTTATCTGCACACGAACGCTATCTAAA